ATCCAGGTGGTGGTGGTTTATACCTTTAATCTTAGTGTTTGGGGGGTCACACACTTTTAATCCCAGCACTAGGGAGTTGGTGACAGGAGAAATATTCTGGGAAGAGAGAGGAATATAAAGGGGAAGAGACAGGAACTCACTGGAGTTTGGAGACTGAGGAATTGTGGAGACAGGATCTCGCCCTTTGAGTCCGAACACTTGGTAGAGGTAAAAGGTCTCTCTAGTGTTTGCTGCTTTGCCTTTCTGAACTTCAGCTTGTTCCCCAATAACTGTATCTGGGTTTGCATTATTCTGCTACACCTCTGCTTTGATTCCTGCTTCAAGATTCCTTCCTTTATTTCCTTACACAATGGACTACATCTGTAAATTTAAATGAACCATTTCAACTTGACTTTGACCACAGTGATTACAATTTAAAACTAAGACAGCATATTCCCAAGTGGGGGATAAACCAGACACCTTAAACCTCACATTTGAGCCATCCATAATCTTCAGTGTGTCACATACCCTGCATTCAGAGCCCCTAACCACCATAAGGCCACTTCCTTTTAAGAAAATTTTTTTAATTTTAGAGATTTATATTTTACGGTAAAGTTGCAAAAAAAAAAAAAAAAGACAGAATATTCACCAATGCCATGCAGCTGGTTGGTTCTTTTTTGACTACTTTGAGTAGATGTGTCAAAACTAAGCCAATCAAGGCATTCCTAATTACTGAATCCATGGTTTATTGAGATTTCCTTACCATTTACCATTACTCTTTACCATTGTCCATTACAAAATCCCACGAGGAGCCTAATTCATACAACAGTGGTCCACATGGCTTTCCTGTAAGACCATGTTGTGTGTGTGTGTGTGTGTGTAGTTCGTGCTGAGGAATCATTTCTTAGACTTCTAGGGTAAAATGAAACGTTAGTGTGTTGCATCCTTCCCTCCTGTCTTTATCTCAGTGGAGTCACCTTTGGGAAGAGCAGATGCACACTAGACCTTGATGAGGCTTCCATGAGACGTTCTTTTCTGAAGTACATCACCTCCATCAAGGTTGCAGAGAACATCAACTTCTTCATGTTGTATATTGTTCATTTTATAAAAGCTCCCTCCACAAATGGAAGCCTCACAGACAAGGTGGCAGTCCTAGTTTTATTGTCGACCTAACACAGTGTCAACTGAGAGGGAAGCGTCTACTGAGAAACTGCCTATATCAGATGAGAAGGTTGGTCTTTGGACACATGTGTGTGTGGTTTCCTTGATTATTAACGCACATAAGAGGTCCTGGTCCGCTGTAGGCAATACTATTCATAGGGAGGAGGCTCTGGTTTATATAAAAGTACTAGGGAATCATGAGCCTATGTCCAAGCTAGAGAAAGGACAAGCAAACAGTGCTCTTTCTTCCAGGCTTCCTTCTTATAGGTTCCTACCTTGAGATCCTGCCCCAATTTCCCCAGGGATGAACTGTGACTTGGAAGCCTGTACCGAATAAACCCTTTCATCTCTAAGCTGATTTTGTGTTGGAGTGTTTTAGAACAGCACCAGAAACTGCTACTATGACCCAACCTGTTGGCAGGCAAGGGCAAGGAAAGGCACATTCCAGACTAGTCTGGGCTACATAATGAAACACTGAATCAAAAAGTAAAACCCAAACCATAGGGATAACGACAAAATGAAAGTGTAATTCCCCTCTTAGGAATACAAGTCGCTGAACAACAGTATTCTTCTCTGTCATGGTATGCCAAAGCCTGTCTCTGATGTTCATTCTCTCCTCTCAGAACCATCGAAGTCCTCCTGTCTCTTTGGCTTTCTCTAATACTACTGCATGTATGAGATGGATTGATCTACCATGCCTTCTTTTAAAGGGACAATGGAATGATTTTTCATGTGTGTGGAAAGAGTGAGATAGGAGGAAACCTCATTTGTATACATGGATAGCTGGAAATCCCAAGACCACGTATTGAAAACAAGGCCATCCCCTCCATACACTAGCATATTACGCACGACATGTTTTATTCAAAAAGTTTTGACTTTCTCATCAGTGACCTTGGACCCTAGGATAGAGTGGTGGCGTTTTCGATTGATATGATAGAATTAAACAGACCAGCTCAAAACAACAAATATAACTTAATAATTGAAAACAGGGAAACTCACAGGACCTGGGTAAATGTTCAGATGTCCAAAATGGGTTTGGCGAGCACAGTGCAAAGAGAGCAAGTGCACCTGGATTCTCAGATTTTCTTTCCTGGCCCCAGGACGCCACACTCTAGCCAAATGTGATTGGCTGAGCTTCCCCATCATCTCCCCCTTTTGTCTAAACAAGATCAAATCATACCCAATACAGCTATATACAATAGGAACAGATACCAAATATGAAATTACAAGCAACAAACAATATTAAGAAACACATAACAAAAGTTTTACTAAGCATTTTATTTCAAGGAGTCTAAATAACTTATTGAAATTAAGTTTAGCTAAATCATGAGGAGGGTAACTACAATTCTCTAATCTTGAACTCCATCAAATTTCTGAGAAGGGAAGTAATATTATTTGAGCAACCAGGAAGTACAAAGGAGAAACTTCCAAAATGTGCCAAATGATAGAGACAACTGACTCCTGGGCAATCACCCAAAGTCTCGTTTGCAATGTTGAGTCAACCAACTTTGGCTAAGGCCTAACGTAACTGACATTCCATTTTGAAAAGCAAGAAACTTTTCAGAACTATCTTACCCTGTCTTGGCAGGATATGACAATCCTGTTTTTATCCATTTATGGATACTCTGTAGCTCTGTTAGTGGTCAAGGTATGGGCTTTTCTTTGCCCAAAGGCCAGTTCTGCCAAGAAGTAGACAAGCTCCAAGTGGAGTGTCTTTGGTGCTCAACATTCTCTAGGGAGTAGAACGGTGTTGCCAGGAGTGATTGTGTCTCACTACCACAGAACTCTAGGTTAGATTAAAGGCCATTTTCTACAGCTCTTTGAAGAGGTTGAAGATTCTACTATCTATACTCAATATAATCTCTGTTTATCTAAGGAACCTGATTAGCCTAAACATAAATAGGATAAACACAGATGACTATTGATCTATAATTCTCGATGCCTATCTAACTTAAAGACTAAGAGAATTAACAACTGTCTAATAAATGAGGACAATGACCTCGAAATGTAAACAATATATATCATTACATAAACACTATGTAAGTAACTTAATCAGAGGTAGAAATGTACATTGCAACATGGTAGATATATATATATATATATATAATATATATATCAATACATAAAAAAATGATTTCAACAGTGTTAGCAGACTCACATACAATATTCAATAGAATTTAACTTTGTATCAATATACAAGAATCGATACCAATATAATTTTCTAAAAATAATAACTCACAAATACCAATCTATTATCCTATCACCAATTTTCCCTCTTTTTTTTTCAAGAACACCCATGAGCCTATGAAATACTTCCCCCATCTTTCAACCATATACCAATTATAACCAACCCCAAAAGGATGTCCCTAAACCTGAGGGCAAACTCTGCTAGGAGAGGGGACGTTATCCTCTAAAATTGCTGTTCATGGGGGTGACGTTCTTCTTAAGGGGTCCTGTGAAAGAAAATAATGGTAAAATTCCAAGATTAATATTTGGTCTGGGAAAATTGCAAATAGTGTCTGAGTGTTTTGAGGAGGTCTGGCCAGGGTGTTGCAAAAGATATGCACCATTAGGAACTGTCTTGTGCAGTTGGTACCAAAAATCATGTCTTGTAGTTGCACTATCAACATGATAATGTCATATTAACCAGGTGGAATCAATGTTGTGGGGCCCCATCTTCTTCTTGGAAACTTCAAAGATCACTGCAGGAAAATATATTATTTCTTCTGGGAAACTAATCATTATCTATAAAGACATATACAGACATATATATTCAATGAAAGGTATGATAAAGACAGAAACAGATATGAGGAAAGGCAAAGAAAGTTTATAAATTTTTATTATTATTATTATTTTTTCTGTCCCATATCATAGCTCTTGACATGAGACAGAAACTCTGGGATATCGCTTATGAAGAGGCTTGGAATTGGAGAGGGACTGAGCCAGAGTCCAACTCCAAAACCAGCTCTCTATATTTATAAATAAATGCATATTAACACATATTTAAAAATATGTTTATTATAATTTATTTACTGAACCTATTCAGTTTTCTTGCTGATCCTTATTGGGTTGTAAATAGTTTCCATCTGTCAGTATTCAAATATCCAGGGTCCCTTGAATTCTTTGAAGATGAGTGTTTTCCTGGGGAGATAAGCAGAAAACCCTACCCCCATCTTATGTGTTGTTCTTACTATCAGTATGATTATCTTCATTGTGGATGAGCTGTCATTTCTTCTTTCTAAGAGATTCCTCCTCTTCAAACTGAACCTTTATTAATTTTGATGGTATCCACAATTTTTCTTCTCCAGTGGAAACAAGAGCAAAACCACTTCCCCAACACAGCACATATCCTGGCATCCATTGCGAGGTCAACACATCTTTGAAATAAGCTGGTTGATTTAATTCAGCAGACTTTTCCATTATCCAATGACTTTCTGCGGCCATTGTCCCCTTTTCATGAGCTTTGAAAAAACTCAAGATTAATAAAACATTACGAGTGAGCAGAGCTGGGAGCTTGGAGCCAATGGCTGGGTGCTCAGAACAGGTGAGGTCCAGACCTGGGGCACTAGCGCAGGACATAGCACCAAGTGAGGCCACTGGTGCAGGCACAAGCTCCTTGCTCTTAGGTCCCCTCGCTCTGGGCTGGGATGTGGGAGAAAGCTGCCTGCAGAAAGGGCATGAGGTGGTGCGGATATCAATGAACAAATGGATGTGGTGTGGCCTCAACTGTTCCAGAGCCTTAAAGGGCTCCAAAAAGACCCAAGGACGGGAACCAAGTGATGGTGCATTCGATCAGCACGCTAGAATAAACCAGACCAGCTTAAAACAACAGATATAATTTAATAACTGAAAACGGGGAAAGTCACACGACCTGGGTAAAGGTTCCCATGTACAAAACAGGTCTGAAGAACACCATGCAAAGAGAGACAAAGAGAGCTAATTCACCTGGATTCCCAGGTTTTTTTCCTGGCTCTAGGAAGCTGCACCCTAGCCAAATGTGATTGGCTGAGCTTCCCCATCCAGAGACCAACTTCCTCTAAAGGGTGGTGACAGAAAAAGTTAACTCAGTCTCTTCGCCATTGAAAACATTCTTCATGCCTGAAGGTGACATAGATGTTTTCAGAAAGAAGGAAAAGTAAGAGTCCTGAGAACAAGCAGAAATACACAAATATAAACAATCAGAAATTCTTCAGGCTGAAGAAAAGAATACCAGAAACAACAACATCCTTTGCTGCAAATAAAGACCATCAGAAGGCTTGAATGTCTTCTTAAAGCCAAGTTCCCTATTTCCACTTTTTTCCTTTAAAATACACACAGGGCCTGGCAAGATGGCCCCATTCCTACAGATGCTTGTGCGGAGCAGGATGGCCTGAGTTTGCCTCTTTGGGTTCAGTAAAAAGAAAGAAGTGACTCCTAAAAGTAGCCTGCAACCTCCACGTGTATATTGTGACACACATGAATAAATACATGCACACAGATGAAATATAAAATATATGTGAATGCTTAAAAGCATGATAATATTGTATGTGTGTTTAACACATATGCACGTGGATTATCTATAGGGTATTGTAGAATAAAGAGCACTAGAAAACGGCAAATGTATTTCTATTGCTAAATATTTTACTTTTAAAATATGTTTTCACCCTGAAACCGATACTGTACTGAACTTCACCATGTGTCCCTGGCTGGCCTCAAACTCATGTCAACCCCTTTGCTTCCACTTCCTAAACTCTGGGATTACAGGTATGAGGCACCACACTTAACATCAGGATTTACACTCTGGAGAAAGTGGTCAAAAAGCAATACTGTATAGACTATAAAATAGTAAGGACATATAATTTATAATCACTAAAACATATCAGAAAGTCTGATGAGAAATGAGAGAATTCTAAAGCTAAAACATTAACAATAAGAGTTAGAGAAACAAAATATGAGCATATAAGAGTGCAAATGATAAAGAATAGAACGTAACAACAGATACATTAGCTATTAATGGATCAAACACAACAAATAAAGGATGAAAATTTTCTGAACAGTTACAAAAGCAACAACAGTAATACCTCATCTGTAAGATAGAGAGTTTAAGAAGTGTGTTTGAGGACTGGAGAGATGGCTCAGCAGATAAGAGCATTGCTTGTTCTTCCAATAGTCCTGAGTTCAAATCCCAGCCGCCACATGGTGGCTCAAACCATCTGTAATGAGGTCTGGTGCCCTCTTCTGGCCTGCAGACAGAATATTGTATACATAATAAATAAATAAATAAATAAATATTTTTTTTTAAAAAAAAGAAGTGTATTTGAGGGCTGGGTGGATGGAACAGCAGTTAACATCACTGACTGCTCTTCCAGAGGACCCGGGTTCAATTCCCAGCACCCACATGGCAGCTCACAGCTGTCTGTCACTAAAATTCCAGGGGACCTGGCACCCTCACACAGGCCAATATCATGCAGGTCAAACACAAACACACATAAAATAAAAATAAGTAATTCTCTTTAAATGAAAGAAAAAGATGCTGGTGACAGTTGTGAACCTGTCACTGCCTTTAGAATCATTTACTGCTAGTTGCTGGGAACAGCTTCTGTTCTCAGTTCAGTTTAGTCTACTTAGATTGTTGGCGGTGTTTGCAAGTCTGCTGTTTGAGCACTTAGCCCCCAGTCGGTGCCACTGTTGGAGGACTGTGGGGAGCATCCCAGGCCTGTAGTAGCATGAGGGCAGGGCCTGTGAAGGCTGTTACACTTACCACTCACTGAATCTGATCTGTAAGCTTTGCATCCTGTCCATTGCCACATGAGGAGTCTCCACCATGTGCCGCGGTCCCCATTAACAGCACCTTGATGGCATTGGTGATACTTTTCCTGGGTAGGGAACTTATGTCAGACCAAATTGTGTGTGAGGACTTTGCACAACAGGGGTGATTCTAAAGCACTTGCATCACTAAAAGCCCACTTGGTCACTGGTGATGACTCATGGAGTCTGCATCTATCTGAATCTCCGGAGGTGGTGGTTGACTCCAAAGTAACATCGTTTTCCAGACCCAACAGAGCTGATGGAAATAGGACCTCACAGAGACTGTGAGATCACTCACAAGATCAGCAGGAGCTTAAGTCAGATAAAATCCCTGCGTGGAGGAGGGGAAGTGGCCACAAATCCCTACACCTAGCCAAGTAGCTATATGTGATGGATAGCTGCTTTCTTAATGGAGTGACACTGAGTACAACAAACACACCCCAGAACAGGCCCCATGCCCAGTAGTTTCCACTATATATAGGACTCCATGGTTTTGTTTTTGACATATAAACAGACTGTTTTGTTTGTTTTAAGCAAGAGAAAGAGCATGACGTTGTGTTAGGGGTAGTTAGGGAAGAGTGAAATATGATAAAAATAAATGAAAAATTTAAAAATACGAAAAAATTAAAAGTTAAATATCTATGTTGCGGCGAAGCTGAGGGGATGGCTCTTCCAGAGGCCCTGACTTCAGTCCCCAGACCCCAAATGGTGGCTCACAACTGCCTATTATTCCGTTTCCAAGGGATCTGACACCATCTTATGAGCTCCGTGGGCAAATCAACAGGCACAAACGCAAGTAAAATACCCATACACATGGAATTAAAATAAACAAAACCTAAAATAATAATAAGATATACCGGTTGTTCTGGATAGTGCTCTTAGCCAGAGCAGTTAGCATCACTGTCTGCTCTTCCAGAGGACCCAGATTCAATTGCCAGCACCCACAGTGCAGCTGGCAGCTGGTTGGCACTAAAATTCCAATTGTTGCCACGTTATCCACAGTGGACGCTATGATGCATCAAACTGATGTCACAAAGCTCCTGAAACCAGAGCTGGAGCCATGAATTCATGTGTTCCCGGGAGAGACCAAGTCTCCACCCTTCTAGCTTAGGGAATCATGAGGCTATGACCAAGCTAGAGAAGGGACAAGCTAACAGCGCTCTTCCTTCCAGGCTTCCTTCCTACAGGTTCCTGCCTTGAGTTCCTGCCCTGATTTCCCCAGGGATGAACTGTGACTTGGAAGCTTGTGCCAAATAAACCCTTTCTTCTCAAAGCTGATTTTGTGTTGGAGTGTTCTAGAACAGTCGCAAAAACTGCTACTGTGGCCCACCCTGTTGGCAGGCAAGGGCAAGGGAAGGCACATTCCAGACTAGTCTGGGCTACATAATGAAACATTGAATCAAAAACTAAAACCCAAACCGTAGTGATAACCACAAAATGAAAGTGTAAATCCACTCTTAGGAATAGGGGTCGCTGAACAACAGTATTCTGCTGTGTCATGGTATGCCATTGCCTGTCTCTGATGTTCATTCTCTCCTCTCAGAGTCATCGAAGTCCTCCTGTTGCTTGGGCTTTCTCTAATACTAGTGCAGAATGAGATGAATTGATCTACCTACCATGATTTCCTTTAAAGGGACCATGGAATTGATTTTTCATGTGTGTGCAAAGAGTGAGAGAGGAGGAAACCTCATTTGTATACATGGATAGCCGGAAATACTAAGCCCACGTATTGAAAAGGTGGACAATTCCCTTCATACACTTGAGGTGCTAGCATATCAAGCATGACGGGTTTTATTCAGAAAGCTGTCACTTTCTCATCAGTGACCTTGGACCCTAGAAGAGAGTGGTGGTAGCATATTAGACCGCTATGCTAGAATTAACCAGACCAGCTTAAAACAACAGATATAATTTAATAATTGAAAACTTGGAAACTCAAATGGCCGGGTAAAGGTTCCTATGTCCAAAACAGGTCCGGAGAACACAGCAAGAAGAGTGCAAAAGAGAGCAAGGGCAGCTGGATTCCCAGGTTTTTTTCCATGGCCCTAGGCAGCCACACAGTAGCCAAATGTGATTGACTGAGTTTCCCCATCAAGAGAGCAACTTCCTCTAAAAGGTGGTGACAGAAAAAGCTAAGGCAGTCTCTTATTCATTGAAAACATTCTTCATGCCTGAAGGTGACAGAGATGTTTTCAGAAAGAAAGAAAAGTAAGAGTCCTGGGAACAAGCACAAATACACAAATATAAACAATCAGAAATTCTTCAAGTAGAAGAAAAAGTATACCAGAAACAAGAAAATCCTTTGGTGCAAATAAAGACCATCAGAAGGCTTAATGTCATCTTAATACCAAGTTCCCTATTTCCACTGTTTTCCTTGAAAATACACAAGGGCCTCGAAGATGGCCAAGTGCCTACAGATGCTTGAGTCCACCATGATGGCCTGAGTTTGCCTCCGTGGGTACACTGAAAAGGGAGAACTGACTCCTAAAATTTGCCTGCTACCACCACGTGTATATTGTGACACACATGCATAAATACATGTGCACAAAATGTAAAATATATGTGAATGTTTAAAAGCAAGTTTTGATATTTTAGGTATGTTTAACACATATGCACATGAATTAATTATAGTGTATTGTAGAATAAAGAGCACTAGAAAATGGCAAATGAATTTCTATTGTTATAAAGTTTTACTTTTGAAATATGATCTCACCCTGTCTCCCATACTGGACTGAACCTCACTATGGGGCCCCAGCTGGCCTCAAATTTATATGAAACCCTCTTGAGTCCTGGGATTACAGGGGTGAGGCACCAAACCTACCAACAGGATTTACTTTCTGGAGAAAGTGGTCAAAAAGCAATGCTGTGTAGACTATAAAATAGTAAGGACATATAATTTATAATCTCTAAAACATAAGAAAGGCTGATGAGAAATGAGAGTGTTCTAAAGCTAAAACAGTAAAAATAAGAATTAGAGAAACAATGTATCAGGGACATAAGAATGCAAATGATAATCAGTAGAACATGACATCAGATAAATTAGCTATTAATGATTCAAACACTACCAAAAAAGACTAAATATTTTCTGAACAGCTACAAAAGCAAGAACAATAATACCTTATATGTAAGATAGAGAGTTTAAAAAGTGTGTTTGAGTGCTGGGAGGATGGCTGAGCAGTTAGCATCACTGTCTACTCTTCCAGGGGACCAGGTTCAATTCCCAGCACCCACATGGCAGCTCGCAACTGGCAGTCACATGAGGAGTCTCCACCATGTACCGCGGTCACCATTAACAGCACCATCGTGGCATTGTGTGACATTATTACTGGGTAGGGAACCCATGCCAAAACAAACTGTGAATGAAGAGTTTACACAAACAGGGGTGACTCTAAAGCACTTACATCACTAAAAGCCCACTCGGTCATGGGTGATGACTCACGAAGTCTGCATCAATCTGAATCTCCGGAGGTGGTGGATGACTCCAAAGTAACATCATTGTCCAGACCCAACAGAGCTGATGCACATAGGACCTCACAGAGACTGTGAGATCACTCACGAGATCTGCAGGAGCTCAAGCCAGATAAAATCCCAGCATGGAGGAGGGGAAGTGGCCACAAAGCCCTACACCTAGCAAGTAGCTGTTTCGATGGATTGCTGCTTTCTCAATGGAGTGACACTGGGCACGGCAAAGAAACCCGAGAACAGGCCACATGCACAGTAGTTTCCAGTATAAATAGGACTCCATGATTTTGTTGTTGACTTATAAAAGGACTGTTTGTTTGTTTTAAGCAAGAGAAAGAGCATAATGTTAAGTTGGGAGGAGTTGGGGAAGGGGGGAAATATGGAAAAAATAAATGTAAAATTTAGAAATAAAGAAAAATTAAAAGTAAAATATATATGATGATGAGGCACTGAGGAGATGGCTCTTGCAGAGGACCTGACTTGAGTCCCAAGACCCCAAATGGTGGCTCACAACTGCATGTTCTTCCAGTTCCATGGGATATGACAGCGTCTTATGACCTCAGTGGGGAAATCCACAGACACACACGGTGAAAAAATATCCATACATATAAAATTAAAATAAACAAAACCTGAAATAATAATAAGATATATCTTTTGATCTGGATAGTGCTCTTAGCCAGAGGACCTGAGTTCACATTGCAGAACCTACTAACAGCCATCTGAAATGTGAGGCCACCCTGGGCTATTAAGCTCATGTTACATAGCAAGACATACATACACACAAACACACACACACACACACACACGTTCTCCACATAGTCTGTACATTTATATATTTACTTCAGCATTAGAGTGACTCCATATCATAAGTATTATTGCCATCCACGTTGTACACAAAAAGCAAAAGGCCCAGAGAGGCTAAATAAGTAGCTCCCAAGTCACAGAACAACTAAGATGTCACCCTTGATTAAGTCATGCCTCCTAGTCATCCTGATAATTGTGATGTCAGGAAGCAACATGGGCCTTCACTATGTAACCATATGAAGGAGGCAGTAGATACAGGAGACTGAGAAACACCCAAGATGGCACATTCATGGCTCGTTTCCTAGACTCTGGAAACTACTAACTCTCAGCTCTATGATTTGGAAAAGGATCAGAAAGTCAAGGCAGGGGATCGCAGGTGGGCCAGATACTGGTTCTCAGACTTTATTCACTGGAAGGGGTATATGAAAGAGAAATATGAGTGTGTGAGGGGAAAGTGCGCGGGCACTTGTTTGTCTGCCTCCCTAATTTCCTGCAGTGGAACAGAACAAAATCTACCTGTGATTGGAAATGTTGGCCCAGCCTGAAAAGAACAGAAAAGCTTCTCACCAGTATCTCTGTGGACATCTAGTGGTTGTAGATGTGAATGACACCTCATACAAAATGTTCCTGTGGGGCCCAACAGTGAGGACAGGAAGGACCATGAGCCAAAGGGGAGAAGAGCCAGGGCTGTGAGAACAAGACACAGCCAGTCACTGGGAGGAGCTGCTCTGATACGTTTCCTGGCAACTGTTGTCACATTACCCACAGTGGGCGCTATGTTGCAGAAAACTGATGTCACAAAGCTCCTGAAACTAGAGCTGGAGTCATGGATTCATGTGTTCCAGGTAGAGAAAAAGTCTCCACCCATCTAGCCTTGGTCTTGCGGAGATAGGAAACACAGAAAGGGCCTTAGCCCTGTTCTTCCTGCTTTCTATTGTGGAGGCCTCCGGGCTCGAGATGGGCACCCCTGGGAGTCAGAGAATCTTACAGGACCTGCTCTGTAGGGACCATCTCCTTTCCATGGCCAGCAGGGACTGGTAGTACAACCTGCTGCTCTCCCCTCTGTTCAGCATCCCTGGGGCCTTTCTCAGGCCTGACTAACCCCTCATTCTTACCTTCCAGGTTTAAGGTCTGAGGATTCTGCCTCCTCCCCAGGCTGAAGATGTCCATCTACTACTGCAGTCGGCTTCAATGCCCTTCCCGACCATGGCCAGACCAACTCGTTCTGTCCCAATGGTTCTTGGTAGGCTGTGTTGCCCACTCTTGCTTAAAATGCTTTTGTTGGTCAGGCCTGAAACATGAGCAAGAAAGTAACTTCCAGATGGCTAGACTCACCCTGACTGGTGTACAGTTTCATCATCTTCTCTTTCCACTCAGCATGATTCTGGGAAGACTGTGCTGGCTGTCGCTGGCTGCTTTCTTCTCTGAGAGCTGGTGCACTGCCCCAAATGAGCTGAGGAATAATCAAGATCTGAGCCAGATGTCCAGACACCAGACTGTCTCCATTGTGCTGAAGGAAAAAGACTAAAAAGACCTAGGAATTGAGTATGATGGCAGTTGCCAGTGAAGCTATTAGGCATAATGTGAGCTCTGGGAGGACCAACAGACCACAAAAGACATGCCATAGAACAATGGGTAGGCAGCCTATGGTCCTAAGTGACATAAAGTTAAAGTGATGGCCTACCTGGGGTCAGGAGAGTAGGAGAATGGCAGTGGGAGACTAGGGATGGCCCAGCTCAGGTCCTTCTAAACAGGATGTGACCAACAATGGGTGCGGTGGTCCATAATAGCTGGATCAGATTAAAATAGTCTCAAGACTTCCTCTGCAGGGTGGCATGCAGAATGTTCTAACCCTTTCCCCTAATAAACTTTCAACTTAGCTTTGTTTTCTGTCTCTCTCTCTCTCTCTCTCTCTCTCTCTCTCTCTCTCTCTCTCTCTCTCTCTCATCATCTGCTTGTTGGGGGGAGGTTGTTGTGAGGTTGTAGTGATGTGTGGGATATGTAAGCTCCTAGTATGATCTCACAGCATATCCAGGGAAGAGAATAACCACACCGGGTGATCAAATACAGGTGTGTGTGTAGCAGTGGTGTGCGTGGGTGGGTGTGGGTTTCTGTGCACACTTCTGGTAGATGCCTAAGGACAGCTATGGGTGTGTTTTCACAGGTGCTGTCTCTTTTTTTCTGAGACAGGGTCTTTATTGGCCTGAAGCCGACAAAATGGGGTAAGTGGTCTGACTGGTAAACCCAAGGAACATTAAGACTGCACAGTTTTTTGCTGGATTTTAAGTACAGACTACCAGAACTGGAGTTTTTACTAGATTCTAGGGGTGGAATTTGTGTCCCCTGCTTGCTAACTGAGCTATCCTTCAGATGCTAGTATGAAGTTTTATTTGGAATACAAGATAATCAGACATGTAGTTTTTTTAATAAAGTGGATGTACCAAAATGGTGGCTATATTCTGAAAACTTTAACTTAGACCCTGAGAGTTAAGTGTTTCCCAAATCAGCTAGGCCTCCAAAAGACCAAGGTATTATTCCACCAAAACGCAACATGGTGAACCAAAGAGTTTAAAACTTACAGCTAACGGATGAGGGATTACTTACAGGTGCAGAGCAGCGACTGACTGCTGTATGGAAGAAGGATTCCTTCTCTGTAGCTGGATAGATGGAAGTGCCTGCACTGTCCGTGGACCTTCTACACTCTTGGTACTCTAGCATCTCCAGAGGCGAGGAAACCACATGTAACTGGAACAGAATCTCACACAGCGGAAAAGGAGATGCTTCAAGGAGAAGCTGGGATCTCAGGTGAGAGTCTAATGACACCTGCCCCAAGTCTTGTATAAAGAAACTTCAGCAGGTAGGTGGTGGTAGGGTGTATAAAAGGGAAGCTGAGTAAGCCATGGAAAGCAAGGCAGTAAGCAGCATTCCCGCCATGGCCTCTGTATACTGGTATATTTGTGTTTAAATGAATAAAGCTTGCCTGAAGATCAGCGGGCAAAGCAGCCACACTCATTAGCTATACGGGACAGGGCGGCGGGGGGGTGGGGTGGCACACACCTATCATCCTAGAACTGGGAAGACAGAGGCAGGCAAATTTCTGTGAAACGTTAGTGTGTTGCATCCTTCCCTCCTGTCTTTATATCAATGGAGTCACCTTTGGGAAGAGCATGTGCACATTACACCATGATGAGGCTTCCATGAGACGTTCTTTTCTGAAGTACATCACCTCCATCAAGGTTGCAGAGAACATCAAGTTCTTCATGTTGTATATTGTTCATTTTATAAAAGGTTCCTCCAGAAATGGAAGCCTCACAGACATGGTGGCTGTCCTAGTTTTATTGGCGACCTACCACAGTGTCAACTGAGAGGGAAGCCTCTACTGAGGAACTGCCTACATCAGATTAGGAGGTTGGTCTTTGGACACATGTGTGTGTGGTTTCCTTGATTATTAACTCACATAAGAGATCCTGGTCCGCTGTAGGCAATACAGGGAGGAGGCTCTGGGTTAGATAAAAGTACCAGGGAAGCATGAGCCTATGAGCAATCCAGAGAAGGGACAAAGAAACAGCGCTCTTCCTTCCAGGCTTCCTTCCTGCAGGTTCCTGCCTTGAGTTCCTGCCCGCATTTCCCCAGGGATGAACTGTGACTTGGAAGCTTGTGCAAATAAACACTTTCTTCTCAAAGCTGATTTTGTGTTGGAGTTTTTACAACAGCACCAGAAACTGCTACTGTGGCCCACCCTGTTGGCAGGCAAGGGCAAGGGAAGGCACATTCCAGACTAGTCTGGGCTACATAATGAAACACTGAATCAAAAACTAAAACCAAAACCATAGTGATAACCACAAAATGAAAGTGTAAATCCACTCTTAGGAATACAAGTCGCTGAACAACAGTATTCTGCTGTTTCATGGAATGCCAATGCCTGTCTCTAATGTTCATTCTCTCCTCTCAGAGTCATCGAAGTCCTCCTGTCTCTTGGGCTTTCTAATACTACTGCAGGTATGACGTGAATTGACCTACCATGCCTTCCTTTAAAGGGACCATGGAATTGATTTTTCGTGTGAGTGGAAAAAGTGAGTGAAAAAAGCCTCATTTGTATACATGGATAGCCGAAAATCCCAAGACCACGTATTGAAAGGATGGCACTCCCCACCATCCACTTGAGGTGCTAGCACATCTAGTATGATGTGTTTTATTAAAAAAGCAGTGACTTTCTCATCAGTGACCTTGGACCCTAGAAGAGAGGGAGGGCGTATTTTACCAATAAGCTAGAATTAAGCAGACCAGCTGAAGAAACGGATATAATTTAATAATTGAAAAGGATTAACTCACAGGACCGGGTAAAGTTTCCCACGTCCAAAACCAGTCTGGCTAATGCAGCAAGAAGAGTGCAAAAGAGAGCAAGGGCAGCTGGATTCCCAGGTTTTCTTCCCTGGCCGCAGGCAGCCACACCCTAGCCAAAAGAGATTGGCCGAGCTTCCCTATCAAGAGAGCAACTTCCTCTAAAAGGTGGTGACAGAAAAAGTTAAATCAGTCTCTTATCCATTGATAACATTCTTCATGTCTGAAGGTGACAGAGATGTTTTCAGAAAGAAAGAAAAGTAAGAGTCCTGGGAACAAGAGGAATACACAAATATAAACAATCAGAAATTCTTCTGGTTGAAGAAAAAGACCAGAAACAACAATATCCTTTGGTGCAAATAAAGACCATCAGAAGGCATGAATGCCATCTTAATACCAAGTTCCCTATTTCCACTTTTTTTAAAAAATACACACAGGGCCTGGCAAGATGGCCCTGTGCTTACAGATGCTTGCGCCAAGCACAATGGCCTGAGTTTGCCTTCCTGGGTACAGTGAAAAGAAAGAAGTGACTCCTAAAAGTAGCCTGCTAACTCCACGTGTATATTGTGACACACATGAATAAATACATGTGGACAAACTGTAAAATATATGTGAATTCTAAAAAGCAAATAATGATGTTTTAGGTATGTTTAACATATATGAACATGAACTAACCAGTGTATTGTAGAATAAAGAGCACTAGAAAATGGCAAATGTATTTCTATTGTTAATTATTTTACTTTTAAAATATGATTTCACCCTGAAACCCATACTGTACTGAACCTCACCATGTGTCCCCGGCTGGCCTCAAACTCATGTCAAACACTTTGCTTCCACTTCCTGAGCCCTGGGATTACAGATGTGAGGCACCACACCTAACATCAGGATTTACTTTCTGGAGAAAGGGAGCAAAAAGCAATACTGTGTAGACTATAAAATAGTAAGGACATATAAGTTATAATCACTAAAACATATCAGAAAGGCTGATGAGAAATGAGAATGCTCTAAAGCTAAAATATTAAGAATAAGAATTAGAGAAACAAAATATGAGGGGGATAAGATTGCAAATGATAAAGAATAGAACATAACAACAGATACATTAGCTATTAATGCATCAAACACTACAAATAAAGGATAAATATTTTCTGAACAGTTACAAAAGCAAGAACAGTAATATCTTATGAGTAAGATAGAGAGATTAAGAAGTGTGTTTGAGGGCTGGGAGGATGACTCCGCAGTCAGCATCACTGTCTGCTCTTTCAGAGGACCCGGGTTCAATTCAGAGCACCCACATGGCAGCTCGCAGCTGGCTGTCACTAAAATTCCAGGGGACCTGGCACCCATACACAGGACTATATCATGCAGGTCAAACACAAACACACATAAAATAAAAATAAGTAATTCTCTTTAAAGTAGAAGAAAAGGATGCTGGAGACAGTTGTGAACCTGTCACTGCCTTTAGAATCATTACTGCTAGTTGCTGGGAACAGCTTCTGTTCTCAGTTCAGTTTAGTCTACTTAGATTGTTGGTGGGGTTTGCAAGTTTGCTGTTTGAGCACTTAGCCCCCAGTAGGTGGCACTGTTGGAGGACTGTGGGGAGCATCCCAGGTCTGTAGCATGAGATCAAGGCCTTTGAAGGCTGTTACACTTACCACTGACTAAATCTGATCTGTAAGCTTTGCATCCTGTCCATTGCCACATGAGGAGTCTCCACCATGTGCCGCGGTCCCCATTAACAGCACCGTGATGGCATTGTGTGACACTTTTCCTGGGTAGGGAACCCATGTCAGACCAAATTGTGGGTGAGGAGTTTACAGAAACAGGGGTGATTCTAAAGCACTTGTATCACTAAAAGCCCACTCTCTCACGGGTGAGGACTCACGGATTCTACATCTATCTGAATCTCCGGAGGTGGTGGATGACTCCAAAGTAACATCGTTCTCCAGACCCAACAGAGCTGATGCACATAGGACCTCACAGAGACTGTAACATCACTCACGAGATCTGCAGGAGCTCAAGCTAGATAAAATCCCAACATGGAAGGGTGGAAGGGGCCACAAAGCCCTAGACCTAGCCAAGTGGCTATTTGTGATTGATAGCTGCTTGGAGAGGGAAAACAATTTTCTCAATGAAGTGACACTGGGTATAGCAAACACAGCCCTGAACAGGCCCCATGCCCAGTTGTTTCCAGTATAACTAGGACTCCATGGTTTTGTTTGTTTTAAGCAAGAGACAGAGCATAATGTTAAGTTGGGAAAAGTTAAGGAAGGGAGAAAATATGATAAAAATGAATGAAAAATTTAAAAATAAGGAAAAATGAAAAGTAAAATATATATGTTGAGGTGGGGCTGAGGGGATGGCTCTTGCAAAAGACCTGACTTCAGTTCCCAGATCCCAAATGGTGACTCACAATGGCCTGTTATCTAGTTCCAAGCAATCTGACACCATCTTATGACATATGTAGGCAAATCCACAAAGACACACCGAGATAAAATATCCCTAC